CTTCTGCTTTTTTTTTTTTTCACAAAAGTGTAAGAATTTGAATTTTTATGCCAAAGACTCTGATGTGGCTGAATTCAAGCTCAGCCTGAATTTTCAAACTAAACAGGCCACTTCTGAGCCTGGATCCAGCCTATGAGCCTTACGTAGCAATCTTTGCAGCCAAGGGGATGGTCAGGCTGATGCATACCTTTGAAAGGAGGTCGGCAACACCGGCTGGCTGCCTGATCCACTGACATTCCTAGATTGGGCTGTGGTGTGTGTGGGCAGGTGAGAAGTGAGGGAATAGGAGTCCTCCAAATGAGCGCTGACAGCGAGCCCCTCACCTGTGCAGACAACGCTAGCGTCCTCCAGGTGCCCGCAGTTGTGCCCGGCCTCGTCCTCACGCACACACTGCCCCAGGTGGCTCTCACGCCCCGTACACTGCACGTCGCCCAGCATGATCTTCCCTGAGCCTGCCCCGAAGTGGGCCCCTGTGGGGGCTGCCACAGCCTGGCCACATTGCAGCTGTTGGCACACGACGGTGGCCTCGGTCAGGTCCCAGAGGTCATCACACACGGTCCACCATGTGCCCTGGATGAGAACCTCCACGCGGCCTGAGCACCTCCCCGTGCCATTCATCAGTCTCACAGCCATCCAGGCTCCTGGGAAGCACAAGGAGAAGGTACCTGGGGACCAGCCTTCCTGTCTCTGGAAGGTTTCCTTCATCCTTTAAATCCCTAAGTGATCACATCCCCACTTACAAACATGCAAGTTCATGAGTGCTCACACACCCACACGTTAGGAATAGCCAAAATAATCTTCAATTTCAAGTCCCTTCAACGAGACTTTATTATATCCCCCCTTCCAAAATATGGACCTCGCTTTAAGAAATTTCCAGAATTTCTAAGTACTCTTTACAAGACCATTTTATCCTTACGTGATTCCCCTGCCATGGACAGAGATAGAAATAGGAGATGTCTAATGAGACAGGCAGCGAGGCTACCCACACGCAGATCATAGCTAAACAGACCCCCTCGCCATCCAGAACTACATTAGTCTTGGAGCAGCTTGGTCCCTTTGGCCCCATAAGTGTCTCCTTATGTCTTTACTATGTAAAAGAGATGGAGGGCAGGAACTAATACTTATTGTTTGTGAGTTAAGTGCCAGAGCCTCAGAGAAGCACTAACTTAAACACTTCTCTCTTAATCTTTACAACAACCCCATGTGGTGGGGGATGGGTTCCCATTTTACAGATGAAGAAACTGAGACTCTGAAGGTGAAGGGAATTGCTCTAAGTTCCAGAACTTGTAAGTGGGCTATGTCCCACTTTAACTGTGCCTGTTGTTCCCCTCCATCTTGGAGAAATGCCTCTCCCCACACTATCTGTCCATCAGCTCTTCATTTCTCAGGCACTGCTTCCCATACCTGCAGGTGGAGGTGTCCAGGCCTCAGAGGCTGTGGTCAGTGAAGGCTCTGAGAAGCCGTCAGCTAGAAGGAACAACAAAGCGAGGTCACTATTAGTCAGTAGGGTAGAAAGAATAAAGTAGACACACTGCTGGAAGGGCTCATTTTCAGATCCTCTGAAGCCTTTTGTTTTCTTTTGATTCATCTAAGTTAGTCACCATCATCCCCATCAATCTTGTTTGTTTAAACCATCAAGATTGTTTAACATTTTATTCATCTATTATATGTTCGTGGTAAACTTATCCTAGAATCCTTGGCTTGGTAGAAGTAAATCTTTACAAAATAGAAGACAAATTTAAGAACATCGTATTTAAGAAAACCTAAAGGCAATAAAAGCAGCCTCTATTAATGCTGCGTGCATTCATTAAAAATATTTATTGAATGCAAAGAAAATGAGGCAGGTTGCCTGCATTTAAAAGGCTTATAACTCAGTCAGAAGCTAGAATAAGAATACAAGTACTGCAG